AGATCATCCGACCGTTCCCCAGTCAGTGATTGCTATTGTTTTTGTTTTTTGACCACCACCAGCGGATCAGTCTTTCTTTTCTTTCCGGCTGGTGGGGCCGACTGTTCTTCCTCGACATCGTCGAGGTCGATCGTTTGCTTGCCCTGACCGGATGCTACGGCCGCAGGCTTGACGTCCGAGAGGTAACACTCTTGAGCCGTCTTTTGGTCCTCATTAAGGGAACCGACTGTTCCATCATCCTTCTCATACTTGAGTAGCATGAGTGCAGGGATGATGACGGCCTTACACTCGTTAAGAGTGGGACGGCCAAAGATGAGGTTGTAAGCCGTGAGCTCTTCAACCATGAGGAAACGGATGGTCATGTGCCGACCGTCTCCCCTGCTTCCCAGGCGGACAGGTAAGTCAATGCGTCCGACTGGGTGCACAAGTCCTCCCCCAAACCCAACAAGGGTGTGGGAGACCTCCACCATGCTATCCGGTTTGTACTTGAGATTGGATAAGCATTTGAGGCTGATGAGGTCAGAGGAGCTTCCTATGTCAATCAGAATTCGACCAACCAGCTGGTTGGCGACCTTGCATTCAATGACAACAGGGTCATCATGCGGCCGACGGACTTTGCCTCTGTCCTGCTCGGTGATGACAACTTTAGGGAAGGCGGATGTGCCTGCCGCATCCCCTTCCTCAACAGATTTGACCATCTTCCTTAGATGGTCCTTGGTGCCCCGAATGGTCGGGCCACCTCCGGCAAAGCCGCCTGCTATGGTGTATACCGGTTCTTCATCAGTTTTGGCACTCACAGCAGGCTGGGGAGTCTTTTTCTTGGACTGCCCTTGATTTTCCTTTGAAGTCACTTTGGACTTCACATAGGACTTCAGCTGTCCTTTGTCGGCCAGACGGTCGAGCTCCCGCTTGAGACTAAAGCAGTCGTTCGTGTCATGGCCGAGATCCTCATGGAAATGGCAATGCTTGTTCTTGTTTCGATTTTCTGCGGAACCTTTCATAGGAGTTGGCTTCTCAAGAGTCAGCCGATCCTTAATTTCCAACAGGATGGAGCAGCAGTCCTTGTGGAACTCGTACCTTGGGACATACGGTTTCCACTCTTTTTTCTTCTTCTGGGCCGGTTGATCAGAGTTATCAATGGCCCAGACTTGCTTTTTCTTTTTGCTCTCTTCTGGCTTTGGAGCCGGCTGAGCAGGCCGACTCTCCTTCTGTCGGTCGGACTTCTTATGGTCCGACTGCTTATTGGAGGAGCAGAGTTCGATCGCCTGTATATAGGCTTCCGCCTCTCGTAAGGCTCCTTGCAGAGTAAAGATTTGTTTGCGGACGAGTTCGTACTTAAAAGTAGACCCGTCCTCCAGACCCTTAAAGAAGTCTGTGAAAGCGACCTCATCAGACATCCCATGAATCTGGATTCGGACCAGATTGAACCGCCTGACATAGGAACGCAAACCTTCTCTATCTCCCTGCTGAACATTGCCCAAATCAAGACTTGTCTTTTTGGAAGGGATATTCATAGAGAAGTTTGAAGCAAACAAGAACGCAAGCGTCTTGAAGCTATTTATGCAACCAGCCGGCAGATTGCCAAACCATTGCTGGGCTATGCCCTTCAGGGTGGCTGGAAAGCAACGACACCATGCGGCATCATCCAACCCCTGTAGATACATGAGGTGGGTGTATGCTAGCAGGTGGTCTTCTGGGTTGGAGGTCCCGTCATAGGCTCCAACCAGAACATTTTTAACTTTAGCCGGTTGTACGGTTTCAGTTATTTCCTTGGAGAAAGCAGAGGGTTGATCCCCAAGGTGTTGCAGCCTAAGCTGCCAGTCCATCGGCTGATAGCCGTATGCCGCCTGTCCTCCAAAGAGGGCAGGCTGCATGTAAGGTAAGATCGGCGCCTGGTACAATGGTTGTGCCATGTATTGGGCCGACTGAATCATATGAGGACCAGACTGAACCCGTGGGCTGCTAGCTGGAGTCTCATGTACAAACTGGGAACACCTCACAGAGGTGTTCCGAAAGCTATCATGATAAGTTGACGTTGAAGCCGACTCTGTTAGCTGGGTCCTCTTCTGCTCAATGTATTGCCGAGCATCAGAGAATGTTTTCTCGCTACCATCCGGCTGTATGTGCCGGATGGATTTTCTTGTGCTCGCTTTCGGGAAACAGAGCCGAGTAAGGTCAAATTGGGGTCGGGCCTTCTCCGTAGGGGCAGGATGAGGAGTCGGCTAACGATCCCTGACCGACTTCTGTTTGCCAGCCTGGGCTGGCTTCTTGGCCGACTGCTCCTTTCTAGGAGTAGGCGACTTCTTTGAGGCGAGTTGTTTGATTTCACCCCTGAGGCTGCTCAGGAGCCTCATTAGTTCATCTCGAGTGACGGGAGTTGATCCTGCCGCCTGGGAAGGATCAACCGGCCGCCCCGAGGGCTTCTTTGGCTGACCAGCAGTTTTGCTTGGCCCTGCCTGGTCATGATGACGCTCCCGCCTCTCCTTACTGCGGATGCGTTTAGAGATGAGGGATCCATTTAGATCCACATAGGTTTCGACGTCAGCGTCGTCACCTAAGTCATGGTCCGTTTGGACTAGTATATCATCTGGAGGCCGATTAGCCTCTGGATTTGGTACAGGTTCTTGTGAAGCCATTTCAGAGGTACTCTCCCCACAGACGGCGCCAAATGTTTCGGGGGTTTTTGTCCCTCGGGAGAGTTACAACACTAAAACTGAATTCAACAATGGACGCATGTACCTGCAAAGCAAACGGACCGCCGAATGGTCGGTGGTCCGCCTCCGAAGATTAAGTTAGTAAACGTTCGGTAATAAAACGTGCGGAAGTAAAGTTATCTGCTTGGATTCCAAGCTCAGGTAAAGTGTTGTCTGTTCTTTGAAAATGACAACTCTGTAGTAAGTGGCGTATTGTCTCGTAGTGCGTGAATATTCTCTCTATTTTTCTGTGTATGTATTTCTGTCCTGTCATAAATGTAAGAATGTCCCTATTTATAGGGTCCTTTTGGAAAGTGTGCCCTCCCTAGGATCTGGTGACCTAGGGATTAGGGCACGCCGTTTTTTAAGGGCCCCTTGGGATTTGGGCCTTGAAAGCCGCCATTCCCAGGGAGCAATATCAGCGTGACACGTGTCACCATCTGGAAGGTCCAAGTAGGTGCCTCTTCCAGTGACAGGTGTCATGCTCTGATTGGGCCACTTGGCAGGGTATAAAATACCCAAATCAAAATTGACTCCAAACAAGCTACTCAAATGCTTTGAACCCAACTCATCCAAAACCCCATTTTAATAATCACTCTCCAAAAAACATTATTCAACTCTATCCTATGCCTTGCTCATATCTAATTTCACCACCATCATACCCTCTCTAACCCCACCCTATCACTTCATAACATAGAAATTTTAAAAGCAATTAGAGCATCATCCCCTCTTCCGGGCGAGGTTTTGATAGATCGCAGAATCCGAATCGATACTAAAATATATAAACTGATAGGCCAGAATTCAAACACTCTTCAAATTATTACATTTTGGGATAAGAACTATACATGTAGAATTAACGTCACTTAGATCAACCTCACCCTTACATCACCCCTTAACAAAATGACATACATCCTTCCCAAGAATCCCAACTATACCTCAATTATTTTGGAAAAATATATACCATCTAATCTAGGGGCCTTGTTTGGGTGCATTTGAAAAAAAGCAGAACGAATTTCCTCGTCATTGGATTCCGCATCAAACAAATCATTCATATCCTCTAAAACTAGAGCCTCGATACCAGTAAACACATCATTCTTGTTTACGGGTTACTTATAGAGGAGTAGAGAACAAATCCCCTTAAAAACTAGCGATGGTATCATCAACTTCCTTTGACGACTCCTTTCAGTCCCCTTGATCGCCAATTTAGTCGTTATTATTTTTGATGAAAAATCGATGAAATGTCATATTATTCCTAATATTTTTTTGGGAAATTCTCATTGGTACACCCGTGGTTTTGACTTTTCCCATTGATACACTCCAAAAATTTTGCCTTCCCATCGGTACACCCATGGTTTAGTCTTTTTCCCAACCGTGACTAACACCGTTAAAAAGTATTTCATTAAATTAAAATAATTCAGAAAAAGACTATAATACCCCTTTTAAATATCTAATGTCTCGATTTGTGTGTCGAAAATTGTTCGATAGTTTTGGAAGTCATGTTAGTCCTTAAGGATCCAAACCTCAAAATTAGCAAAAAAAAATAACGCAAATGTCTCATGTGCGTGTTAAAAAATGTCTCGGTTTGCGTGCTATTATTTTTTTGTGATAGTAATTGTTCGGTTAATGTTTTAGGGGTCATTTTAAACCTTTAAGGAACTAAATAGAACTCGAAATTGTCAAAAAATTAACAAAAATGTCTCGTTTTGCGTCTCATGACAAAACAAAAAAGAAATATCATGACGTGCAAAATGAGATATTTTTGTTAATTTTTTGACAATTTCGAGTTCGATTTAGACCCCTAAAGAGTCAAAATGACTCCTAAAACCTTAACCGAACAATTATTATCACAAAAAAGCAATGACACGCAAATCGAGACATTTTTTGACACGCATATGAGACATTTGCGTTATTTTCTTTTGCTAATTTCGAGGTTAATTTGGATCCTTAACGACTAGGACTCTCAAAACTTTAACCGAACAATTTTCGACACGCAAATCAAGACATTAGATGTTTAAAAGGGGTATTATAGTCTTTTCCTTAATTATTTTAACTTAATGAAATACTTTTTAACGGTGTTAGTCACGGTTGGGAAAAAGACCAAACTATGGGTGTACCGATGAGAAGGTAAAAATTTTGGAGTGTATCAATGGGAAAAGTCAAAACCACAGGGTACCAATGGGAATTTCCCTAATTTTTTCCTACTTTAAATTTAAAAAACAAAAAAGTATAAATAAACAAAAAAAAAACCAAACAAGAATACATTTGTGATCACGGACATTTCACAAGACTTTTGTTCCTTGAATATCAAATACTTAATCCTTACCCAAAGAAACCCGACAACAAGTAGCGACAATTCGTCTACCATTTTCTAACGCAATTAGATCATTTCCCTAATCCTATACTTAGGAGAGAGAAAATCCTGGGAATTCGGCAATTTCTTCTGCACTTTCCGATCTCCATTTCCTACAACAGTCAGCTAATAGCCTAATACAAATACCCACAATTTTGAAAGAGATGTTTTGAATTTTGATGGGGTTTAATTTTGTTGTTATTACTTTTTAAGGCCATAATTGTTGAGGAGTAATTTAGGGTTTGTTTGGAATTTCTGGGTTTTCATTTTGATGGAGTTTTCATGGCTGAATTGTTTTCGAATTACCCTTCTTTTGCTCCTCATCGTCGCCATTGCTACAGCTTGTTTCACGCTTCCCATTGAAAAGGTCGTGTTTTTTTACCCCCTTTTGATTTTTTCTTTATTGATGTTGTTTTGATTAGGGTTTGAATAATTTGGATATATGTTATGTATGGTGAGTGATTTTGATCCACTAATGGAGTAATTGATTTATGAGCTATGATTTTTGAATGTTAAAGGTTGCAACTTTCTGTTTTCTTAGTAGAGTAATTTCATTTGAATTTGGTTTTGATTGATTTTTGGGAAATGTTGCTTATTGACAAAATGGTGTTAATAATTCATTTCATGAACTAAAATTGAATTTTGAGTTACATATACAATATAAACATGACGTATGAGTTTTGAATTTAGCTTGGATTGATCAAAGCTTTATCATTCTTACCATAAGTTTGTCAAAGTCCGTTTTGAGTTATGCTGTGAAATTATACTTTTAGATTTCTCTTAGCTCTCAGTATTACTTGCTAGTTTTACTTAAGCATTGTGATATGAAAAATTGATTTAATTAATAGTTGAACTTGATGAGAATTGATAACAAACTTTGATGTGGCTTATCATGTAAATTTGCTTTCATTTGAAGACAAAAGTTCGCTATGCTGTGTAGGATATAAGAGCAGATTAACTTTGGGCTTCAAAGTTCTTCTGTTTTTGTTATCTTATTGGTTTTGTAGCATTTGCAACATTTTTCATGTCAAGTTAAGTGTGCTGTATTGTTGTCTCTGCTTGCAGATATTAAGAAACTTTCTCTTGTGGGTGGATCAAAACCTTGGAAATTGGGGGCCTCTAGTTTTGTAAGTCATTTGATTTTGTCCTTCTGAAACAAATTTTGCCTGATAGTGTTCTGTATTTATTTTTTCCTTAAAGATATACTCTTTTACGCCTTACAGTTAATGTTTAGTTTTGACTTATTTTTACTTTTAATTTTTAGACTTGAAGTTCCATGTTTGTTGTGGTCCTTAATAGATGCTTGATTAGTTGATTATTATCTGAAATTTCTGTGAATCCTTTTCTTGGGATTGTTTTGTTGGCTTTTCATAGAATCTGTAGAAAGAGAAACACGCTGGAGAGTTCCAATCTCTCTAAAGCTGGCATAGGCTGTCATTGGTGAATTATTATTATCCCATAGTTCATCAATTACTGTCATATCTTACTCGCGTTGCCCTAATTTTTAGCCTAGTTTCTTTCTTATTTTAAAATTTTGCATTTTGTCTGTAAGGTTAGAGCCAAGGATCTACTTATTCTCTGAAGTGGTGATATATATGTCCTTGCCTTCTTGAAGTGACATGCGATACCTTATTCTCAGAATCTCAGTACTGGTATATTATTGATGCTTGGAGCTTTATGTTTAATTTTGACTGATTATGTTTACCTTTGATGTTTATAGGGCTGTTGCATACATCCCTCTGACTATTTTGGCAGTTCCAGCTTCAGTGCTCACGGTAAGTAATGAATAATAATATCTGATTTTCATTCTCTTGCAAAAGAGGTTACATGCTAGGCTGCTAGCTTCCCCTTGAGATTCTCCTTGACTTGACTTGATTCTCATTAGTCAAAATACTGACTTTTTTTTTAAATATATTTTTTTTAAAGTGCTTCATTGGGACTTTTTGCACTATTCACTTGACCTACTTTGACTAATGCTAGTGATTTATCAATCAATCAAAGCCTTAATCCCTTGGGTGGGCCGGTGGGGTTGGCTACATGAATTAAAAGTGATAATGCTAGTGATTTATATGTAAGAAAAAAATATAATCTTGTGGGTACTTGTTGGAATTGTCTTAATGAGTAGTTTATTAATATTCAATCATTATAGTTATGCTTATTGATGATAAAGATCTTATTGGTCAAAGTTTTGTATGACTTGCTTAGTCAAAATGGATTACTTAAAGTAAAAGCAGTGGGAGTAGCTTTATGGATTGCCGAATGTTTTCAATTTCTGTTGTGTTACTTCTGTGATGGATTGAATTTGTGTTGATTAACCATTTTCTATTGTAAATGCATTAGTTGTTGACCTGATGTGCTCTTCTAAATGTCTTTGGAGCCTGCCGAATCACTGAATTCAAGCCTACTACCCTTTGGATTAATAGAGGTTTTAAAAAAAGGCCATCTCTAAGTTTTTTTTGTTGACGTAAAGAGTTTCTTGGACCTTACAGTGAAACTGAGAAAGTTTTTGGATGGAACTGAGAGGAAAGGTTAATTATATATCGTAGTTGATATTGACATTTATTCAGTGTGCCCTCCATGCCTAAATGCTAAATAGAGAAATAGCACAAATGGTTGAGTCAGGTGTTAATGTCTCATTATGATCTACCATTAGATACCAACCCTTCCTATTAATCTTCTATGCTAAAGGACATGTTTGTTGTCTGCACTTTGAATAAATTTTGTCTGTAAGTTCATGCCCCTGTGTCACTGTCTTTAATGCTACTGTATTGATTGGACTTGCCGTTCTACAGCTTGGTGGTGGCTATCTTTATGGGTTGCTTCTGGGTTTTGTTGCTGATTCTGTAGGTGCTACATTGGGGGCAACTGCTGCTTTTCTTTTGGGAAGAACTGTGAGTACTTCATCTTATTTTTTTTAATTGGAATTTGATATGTGAAGGGGCGGAGAATTTCTGTATGTAAGTTTTTACTTCGCTATATTACACAGATTTAATTCCTGTATCTAGCCGAATCTCACATGTCATTTGTGAGTCTTGAAATTGAACTTATGTGATGGTACCTCATGACATACATTCTGAAAGTTAGTTACATTTTTCTTTGTTCTACCTATAGCAGGCTATACTTTTGTTACTTCTTTAATGTGGTGCATGAATTAATTTACGTTTGAACCATGTGTGCAGATTGGAAGGTCATTTGTTATTTCTAAAATTAAGGATTACCCTAAGTTTCGGGCTGTTGCTATTGCTATACAAAGATCTGGTTTTAAGGTATGAATGAATAGTTGAGCACTGTCATTTGCTTGGAAAATTCCATTCAATGACGGTTTGATTTACATTTGTATATGAATACTTGGTTCATGACTCCATAGTCATATTTTTTTAATATTAGATTGGGGAACTTACTAATAGTGTAATCGGTTTGTTAAGTGTTAGCTGACTCATTTTCCGTGGGCTTGAAAAATTGCTAGATTTTTTTTTCTTTCTTTTAGTTACAACCAACCAAAATATATACAATTCTTTGCTTAAGACTTGACTCTATGAGGTATGAGGTGGGACATGGACAAACTGGTAGATCTGAGTCTGCCCTTTTACTGTTAGTGCAACAATGATTCACAAGAAAAATTTAATAGCAATGATTCCCGAGTAATTTGCCTGGCTGACAAGATGGATTGATGAGTAACTGCTTCGGAGAGTCTAATGTAGCAGTACTGCCTTGTGATTTTGAGGGTCATGTAGCTATTATTTGTATTTGATGATGGAAGACCAGGATTATTAAAAGTGCAGAAGATTTCTTCAGAGATTTAATTTAATTTTGTTAGAACAAATTGGACTTTTTTTTTTCTTTTCCTAGTGAATTCTAAAAATATTCCCCTTCTGAGATTCATTACACGGCACACCACACCTTTATTATTTGTCAGATATTTGATTATTGATATTTTAAAAGATGTGGGTACTGTTGATGATTTTGGGTTTGCCATATTGCATAGTTTCAGCCAAAAAAAATAAAAATAAAATAGTTTCACATATTTCAGTGGTACCTGTCCCCGGTGTTTCAGCTTCATAGGTTATTGAGAGTTTTAAAGACTCCATGTTATGTTTGCTAATGCATTGTCTATGTAGAGCTTTTCAGGCTTTTAAGACCATGATTTAACCTTTGTTTTGTTATTTGGACTTTTGGAGTATAAGGGCTCAATCAAATATTTTACACCTTAGTTTGAACTAGTAGGTTAGTGGCTTGAATATTATTGTTTCCTTCCTCTCCCTAGTGGACTAAGGGATCTAGAATTGCTCAACTTTTATCTAATAGTCCCTCCGTCCTTTTTTAAGTTGACAAGTTTCTTTTATCATGTTTGTCAATGCACAAAGTTTATTGGGTTAATATTTCTAATTATCAACAATTAAAAAAGGTAATATTATGAAAATTTACATTTAGACAATTATGATAAGATCCCACATGATTGTTCTATCGTTATAATAAATCACAAAAACGAATCAAAGTAGAGTTTGTGAACAGTGGCAAGTCAAAGTGTATTTATCAATAAAGCACAGTGGAAGGTTGTAAAAACAAGGGATTTAAGTGTGTCAATTTGTCATTCTCTGGTTCTTGTTCAGTAGTTTCAATCCATTACTGTTCCAAGTTTATTTGTGCTTTAGACTTCAGTAATTGTACCGATTCTAGTCTTGGCTGACAGCATTGCGTTAGTAAATTCTGGAAATTTACTTTGACTTGGATTAAGTGAAATGATGGCATAGTTCTTTAAATCTGCAGGATCCATCACAGCTTCTTTCATGACTCTCATGAGTACTTGAATTTTTTTGATAATGTAGTTTTGTTCTCTCTTTACAAGTTACTCCCTCCGTTTCACTTTGTTAGTCCCATATAGAATCAATCACAAAAAATAAGAGAATGGATAATATTTGGAATCTTACATTTTAGTACAAAAATTGCTTAATTAGTTCTATCTTATTAAATGTTCTGATTTTTTTCTTTGGAAAGCATCAATTACAATGCTTGTTTAAGGTGAGGAATATCAATCAAATGTCATGTCATCAATTCACTAATGGGATTGATGACCAATCAAAATATTTAATTACTGCCATGTCATCAATCCACTAATGGGATTAGAAATTATAAGACCGGATTAGGAAAATAAAATAAAATAAAATAAAATAAAGGAATAAATTCAATATTTGTAGACCATTTTGAAATGCCCAAAATAGTATATGGGACTAACATTATGAAACGGAAGGAGTAGTAAAAAATTTCTTGTAGGTTTTGTTAGGAAATAGCAGAATAGGTGAGTTTAAGGTGAGACTGTCTAATAAATCTTGCTCATGAATTTTACCTTGAAATATGATGTACCATGCTATTTCGATGGTGGAGGAGTCTTGAGTGTTGAAGCCAAATGATCAATTTGTTTTAGCAAAAACATCCATTGTTTCTCTGAATTTCATGCAAATTTGCTAGACTATTTACATTTTAAACGTGCAAAAAAGATTGTGTCCGCCCTGTAGGTTCTAGATAAGGGTCTAGTTTATTTCTTTTTGGGGAAAGGGTGAATGGGGGACAGTGGATGGCTGCTTGCCTTTTTTGTTGTTGTTGTTGACTCATTTATGATGTGATTGTTCCATCTTTTTCTGATGTGCTGTTTTTATTTTTAACAGATTGTCTTACTTCTCCGGCTTGTTCCCTTACTTCCATTTAATATGTTGAACTACCTCCTGTCTGTAACTCCTGTTCCCCTGTGGGAATATGTCCTGGCCTCTTGGTTAGGGATGCTGGTAATTTCTACTCTCTATTTATTCAAAGCTGCTTGTATGTTCTACCCAATCCTCGTTTATCAGTTATAATACAGATTGTACATTTGTGTTTGAGCCCATAGAATTTTTGTTGTAGTGAGTGCGCAAAGATATTATACTTTTATTTTATTTGTCTTCTATACTTGAAGAGAAAGCTTAGGCTAGGAAAAAAGTCTTTGGAGTAAACTTTGATTGCAGCAGATAAAATTGATTGCATGGATGAGAATGAACTCTCTATCTGTAAAGTACATCATTGTAAAAATTGTAAAATTGGTCAGTCTGGATTTCCTTTTAAGTTTTATGGTCAAACAGACAAACAATGTTCATTTATTGCTCATCTTTATCAACAAGAACAACATTTAAGTGTTTACTGGTTAAGGACATGAAAGTGAGTCTACTTTGACCCGTATTTTTCTGAAAAATGTTGATGATTCTACAAGATGACCTTTATGCAAATTACCTGTCTAAACTCTAATGGTTTGTTTGGATAAAGAAAAGGGAAGGAAAAGAAGGGGAGGGAGGAGAAGAGGAGGGGAGGGAAAGGGAGGGAAAGGGAGGGGAGGGAAGAAGGATGAGTTTTCCTTCCAAATCTCTCCATCGATGGAGGGATCAATTTCCTACAATTTAATCCTTCCATTTCTCTCCCCTCCAATTCCCTCCCTTCCTCATTTTCTATCCAAATGAAAGATACTCCATCTCTCCATTTCTCTTCCCTTCCTTTCCCTCCATTTCCTTCAATCCAAACACACCGTAAAGTTTTCTATGTTTTAGTGATGTTATAGAATACCAAGTGACCCATTAGAAGGTATAGTGCCTAAAATATAGTTCTTGTCAAAGTAATTTATGGTGTATTTTATGCTCTGTTGGATTATTGTCCAATTATCTTTCATTCCTTTATGCTAGAAAAATTAGCAGTAAAACTGTAGAAAGGTGCATCATATGATGCATGCATATTACATAAAGCTTGCTTAATCTGCTGATACACTGTCCTTGACAAAGTGAAGATCCCTCTGACTGACCCATATCATGTTTTCTCCAAACTGCTTAAATAATGTGGATTCGGTGTCATTTATTTATTTATTTATGTACGCTTTCTTTGGATAGCATAGAAGGAAGGGAAGGAAGGGGAGGGAAGAGAAAGGGAGGGGAAAAGGTGTGCTTGGAGGGATTATGCTAAGAGAGTGGGAAAATGGAGGGATTATGCTAAAGAGAGGGGGAAAATGGATCCCTCCCTTTCCTTCCCCAATCCTTGACTCAAATAAGAGAAATTTTCCTCCCTTTATCTTCTCTCTTCTTTTCCTTCTATTTCCTTCGATCCAAACAAAGTGATAGTAGGACTATAGTCTTGAATTCTCAATTTGCAAAAGCTTTGATTTCTGTGCCGGGCATGTCTGCCCTGCCTTTTGGTATGACTTATGAGAACATTAGTGTTCAGTTAATCTTTGAACGTGTTTGAATTCTTATTTATAAATTATAATTATGTTACGACCTAAGGTGGTATTATATCTTATTTTTACTTAACCACTTGTCTACTTTTTTCTTTGGGGAATTTAATTATTTAATGCTCCCTTTTTGGTTTTGATTACAGCCTATAACACTTGCATTGGTGTATGCTGGAACAACTCTCAAGGATCTTTCAGATATCACACATGGATGGCATGAGTTCTCTCCCTCCCGTTGGGTAAGATCTGCTATTTTGTGCTTGGATGTGTTAACACTTCAGAAAATAACATTTTCCCTTGCTCATGGCTGTTACAGTTATTATTTTCCTGTCATGACCACATGGGTTGCTTTTGCCTCCCCCCTAAAACACCTTTTATGGAATTTAAAGTTTTAAACTAATAAGTGTTATTGTGGATGCAGGTATTTCTTGTATCAAGTATTGTGGTTTCAGGTATGTTGTTGTAGATGCCTCTTCTGCATTTTATAAGCAGTAGCACTGCTTTGTTCTATCCATATCTTGACTCATTGACAATGTGCAAACCAATGAAATAAACTGATATTATTAAAATGTTCTTGTTATTGGAGGTGCTCTACATTCTAATGGCATATTTATTCTGAATTTTGATAACTTAGACCAAAACTATACTTCTATATTGAATTATACAAGTAATAGCTAGTAATCCATACATCAGAAAGAAATTTTCGAGGTTTCCAATTCAGAATGAAAAGTATGAGTATATCTATCATGCTTGATCTCATCAGTATCAATAATTTTTGATTGATATTTTAACTGGCTAAGTGGCTATGTTTGTTCTGTGTAGAATAATTTTAATGCCCTGCAACTTTCGTACAAAGTTAATTTTCAAATTGACTATTTTACGTAAATAGTAAATGGTAAATTGAGCGCATTTCTGCTTTGCATCATCTTGATGGTTCGTGTTGCTTGCAGTGATATTGATGGTTTGTGTAACTAAAGTGGCAAAGACTGCTTTAGAAAATGCATTGGCTGAAAATGATAATGAAGATACCCTGTCCTGCTCCGAACTGCCTATCTCGGGTGATCTGGTTGGGAATCTTCAACAGCCTCTCATTGTTAGGATGGATTCGTCCCAGGATAGCCAGCAGAACTGAAAATCGGTAGAATTTTTCTACATACTCTTCATTTTGTGCCTTGAAGTCTCATGCCCTTCGACATTAATGCTTCGTACTTTCATTTTTGTGCAGCAACATGCATTTGACGTTCCTACATTTTGTACAGCCTTAACATTACTTTTCCCTTCGTGTAATTGGCCAATAGTTTCCTTTGTGTATAGCCTTTTCACTTATGCTGAACTGGAACTGCTAATTTGAGATAGTCAAGATTGACAAGGATTTTGCTGGAGAACTCATGTTAGCAATTAGCAAGAATGAAAGATGCTGATGAAGATATTGCTGAAAGAATTATTTTCGTTGAGCTAGGCTACATCTAACCATTAGTCAACACCCTTATATATTTATAACATCTTGCTTTTACCTCTTATTCTACTCATGTAAGTGATGTAACACTTCTCTCCCTGTAATTTTGTTAGTTGTTGACTATTGTAATTAACAATTTGCTTTTTAGCGCTATCCACACCAAAACAAAACATAAGAAAAAGCTTAAGAGTTTTCTTTCTGTGTAATTTTTAGATATTTTATCTTCTGCATTTCTGTCTTGTTGCCAAAAAGGAGAAGAAACATAATGTTGCACCCCTTTTTTAACAACGATTTAAGGTGATCAGATGAAAGGAATCACGACCCCTTCCTCGCAGCAGCTGCCAGATTTTGGGTGTGTTCTACCATATTTCTACTTGCTTTCATGCGGAAGACAAAATTTAAAGCTTTCAGCTATTTCTGTAATGTTTCTATTAACTTGATGTTCGATAAGGAGCACCTTCCCTACCTTGGGATCTCCAGTTGCTCGTGATGCACTTACAAGTTATAATGAACACTAACTAATGACGGAGTATTTACAATCCTAAAAGCAGAAGTGGTCACTTTTACTCTTCAGCTTGAGGTTATTTACCTTACTGTAGTTACACCAAATGCAGAATGCCCAACGGTCCATGAAAGCAATAAGTTACATTGAAAAAGATTGAAAAAGTAATTTAACTGAGAGGAAGCAATTTTTTTAACTGAGAGGAAGTAGGTAATAGTAACTAGTATGGAGTAGTCGATTAAATTGATTTCAAAAATAATTTATATTTCAGCCTGCTTCCTATATAAATGGTGTTTTTGTTACATTGCAACAAAACAAAAGTGAGGTACAGCATATAACACATCAGGCAAGACAAGACAAAAGCAAAATTTCTTGAATGAGGTGAGATATATTTGAAATTCAATTTGATATTGGACAACCAAAAGATAGAACAGGTTAACCCCCGGCTGCCACTGCACTCTGTCCTTTGATAACTTTGTCATAGAATTGCCAGGACAAACTTCTTTCAGTGATAGCACTCTGACCAAATGGATGTTGCTCTATATATTCCTGTACATTGTCAGCCATAGCTAGTTCTTCCAGATATTCTCGAATGATCCCTCCTGGACCTGTAATTGCATTATTCCATGCTCAGGATACAAATTTAAAATCTTCCCAATTGAAAATTAGTTTTACTTTTACTAATGCTAATTCAGAATTATGCTACAGAAAGTTCAGGAACATGAACCAATGCAATATTGACTTGACACTTCATCGTTACCCATAATAAGCTAATGATTACCAAAGGACACTTGCACACCATAATAGAAAAAAAATATGGAATAATGGATGTGACCAGGACAATATTGCAGACCCAGAAAATACATAACGGCACAAATAAAAAATCTATGCATACTTTTAAGCAACATACATTATAGGAAAAATACACTTTAATAATCCCAACTATGGGCGATTTACCTACAATAATCCCAACTAACGTTTATTCTACAATAATCCCAACTATTGGGTCAGTTTTCCTCCAGCAGTCCCAAACCGGTCAACAAAAGTCAACAACCTATTATTGTAGGTTGTTTGACACGTGTCAGCGTGTGAGTGGTTCCCAAAAAAAATAAAAAATATACAAAAAAAAAAAAAGAAAACAAAAAAAATAATCTAGCAGCCAACCCTAACCACCACCTCCTCCTGCCGCCCAACCACCACCTTCAGCCCTAACCACGACCAACCGCACCCCCGGAACACCACGACCAGCCGCACCCCCGAAACACCACGACCAGCCGCACCCCCGAAACACCACGACTAGCCGCACCCCCGAAACACCACCTAAATCGCACCAGCAGCACTCACGACCAGCCGCCCTTGCCCGTGAAACCACCAGCAGTCCAGCAGCCCCAAATCGCACCAAATCGCCCCGAAACCCTAACCCGTGAACTGATTGGAGCTTGAAACCGCGACGCCTCGCCGGAAACCACTCGAATTTGGGAGTGAAGGGGTGGTTGGTGGGGCGGGTTTGCGATTTTGGGTGACTGGTGGTTTTTTAGGTTGGAGGAGGAAGAAGGAAGGGGAGCGGTAGAGGCATGGAGCGGCAGTGTAAGGCTACGATTGGTCGGAATGGGTAGACGACGGTGGGCGGCGGCGGAGCTGCGGTGTTGGGAGAAGAATTGGGGTGGAGCTTCCATGTTTGGTGGTGGGTGTAAGGTGGTTGAAGGGAGGAGGGGTGGCTGGGATTATTTTTGCTATTTTTTTCTTTTCTTTTTTTAAATTTTTTAAATTAAGCCAATCATGTGCTGACATGTGGCATTTAAAAAACCAAAAAAAAAAGTTTACCATTTCAGCAGGTAACCAGTTTTTGGGACTGCTGGAAGAAAGCTAACCCAATAGTTGGGATTATTGTAGAATAAACATTAGTTGGGATTATTGTAGGTAAATCGTCCATAGTTGGGATTATTAAACTGTATTTTTCCTACATTATATTAACCCACAATAAGAAAGTTAAGGTAAGATTGACAAAGGAGCAGGTGAGTCATACCAATTGCATCATCTGCACCGTCTTTGTAGTCATAAGAGTATGGGAAAATAGCAGTATGAGGCTGTGCAAGAATCACATATTTAGAAGAAAGGTTAATGCAAGAACTTGTCAGTTCACATCCACCAAACATTCAGTAGAATCGGTGATCAACTTACAGGATTGAGCAATGCCTTGTAAGGAGTATCATCCAGCAGTAATGTATTTGATTCATTTAATTCACCTTTCTTCCATGGAAGGTCAGGATCATCGTAACTCTCCCAGACTTTTCTAAGCTCTTTGAAAACCAATGCCTTATGTTTATTCTCCAAGGTTCTAAAGTTTGACGCAGTGCAATAGGATAAATCCTGCAAAAACAAACAATGCATCGAAATTTTGAAGCTCGTAGACATACACCAATGACTGTCCAAGACTCCAAGCATCCACTTCAATAATATAAAGACAAGAAAAATTATCTTAGTCAAAAATATTTTCTAAAATGACATTAACCCAATCTATGACACATCTATGAACTATATTGATTGTCCAGACAACTGCAGTTACATTAATATAAAAAAAACAAGTAACAAAGTCATGCAAGCCAGCATTTATACCGACAAGTACTACTCTACTTTCAGCAAAACCGAGCATCAGGTCCTTTGAACAAAGCAACTTGCATGCTTTCCCTATCTTATAGCTTGCTTTCCAGGGATCTTCAAAATAATATGTGAGGCTACTAATTTGTGCACTGTTCAAGGTTTCTAGGCTTTGCACATTGCGCTCTTGTAAATTATTTTCCAATCATTGCTCACAATTAAAAAAAAAGGGATAATTACTTACCCAGCAGAAAATCAAATTGTCTTTCATATCTCCTATCAAGTAGTTAAGTAATCTATCGATAATTTTCCTGCAAATTGAAAAAACATTGTTATACATGAACTTAATGAGTACAATGAAGAAATTTGATTTATACAAGATACAATCAATTCCATTGGAAACCCTAAGTGACTCAGATCACTACGCAGAAATCTAAATCAAATTAACTATAATTTGCAATATTAATGTACATTACTCAAGTGATATAGGGGCAGCAATAAAATGCGCATATAATACGTATATGGTTTCAGAGTCTACTTTCTTATCTCTTCACTTTTTATCATGGTTATCAGATGTTCACATTGGTTATTATTTAACTTGGGTGATCCAGATTAAAAAATTCAGTTATCCTAATAAACTCCCAGCATTTCAATCCTTTGATGTCCCAAATCTTACATTACATTGATAATAAGCTATTAAAATTTTATGAAGCTCTGAAAGTTGCTCATCTTTAATGTATTAACAACCTCATTTATAAACATAAAATGAGGATTTGCAAAAATAAACAACAGCTTGTGAACACATTTAATACTGTCCTCTTAATTATATTGAAATCCATTATCGAATTAACTATTTGGAACCGTAAGAAATTTTTTTGAGCCGTCCTCATCATAATAGTTGCTATCAACTTTATGGCCCCAAATCTCCTTTTCTCCTTTAGTCCATTTTACTTTCATTATTAGCTTTGCATATCATTTTATTTCCTGAACCCAAACCATTCAAAACAAGTGTTTTTTTTATTTTATTTTTCCTGGTTCTCAAAGAGAAAATATTCTTTTAAAAAGAATTTTCATGGTAAAGAATGTATTTATGAAGCTCAAATCAAGAGATTGCTGCAAGGACATATAAGGTCTTTTAAAAGCTTGACCTAAGGCTCCAATTTTCAGACACCATCCTAAGCTCCATCTCTAGTGTCAAGAGTGACGGTGTCCATAAAGATGAAGGCCTTAATTTTTTTTTAATTTTTTTTTTTTGAAGTTGGGAGAGGAGGGGGTGTGTGGCGGGATTCTATGAAGTACTAAATACAATGTATTTACCTTGATCTTGATGACCATATTGCCACATTGAATCTCTCAAGGCAAAATTTCAGGAAATCAGAGCAGAAGGGTCTAGTGAAAACTGCACAAATAAGCAGCAAACAAAGCACATTTTCAGCTGAGCTGAATGCATAATATATGCAGTTGACTACAAAGTGAAGCATCAATACAAACCTGCCCGTCCTGCAATTTTAGTGTCTGCCTTGTATCCCTTGGGAGGAGGATAAACTATATCTGCCAATATTCCATTGATATCAAGAATCAGAAGCTTCTTTCTTGAGCAAAAAGTGGGAGCTTTTTGTGGAAAATAATTTAATAAATGCAATATGCTACTATTTCGACTGACATTAGTCAGAGAGAAAGGATCATTAACATTCAGATTTGATAAAGAAAGTTCATGTCCATTGAGGCTTTCAAGCAATGACGGCTGCATTTCATGTTTCTGGGAGAAAGATCCAGCTCCTGAGATGGCTATCGGATTCTCTAACAAGACAACTGACTCACTAGAAGCATCTCTTTTAGAATTGGTTATCCTACTATTAGAGCTCATTGATAATGAATCAACATCCTCAAGTCGCTTGTCTGAAGTCCCAAGAGAAGCTTCCAAAACAACAAAGCCACCTTCACAAGAATCTATTGGAGCCTTTTGGTCCACTTTAGAATCTGAGGAAGGCAATTGCATCAATTCCTCAGAAGCAAAAGCTAGTGATGTTTTCAAATTACATTCTTTAATTGGTCCAAGTCCTTGGAGGGTACCATTCAATTGCTTACATTTCCCTAGTGAAAGGCAATGAGTTGAGCAATAATTTTTTTTCTTTAGACAAGACATATAACCTTTCTCAGTTTGTTTTGAAGCAGGAAAGTTATGGCTCTCTACATTATGCATTGCCTTCTTCGTCACCTTGCATGACACTTCCATCTCCTTTTTCATCAAAGGGCCCATTTGCCCAATAGCTTGGGCAGTTCCAACATCTGCCCTTGCTGGTATATTGACTGAAAAATAAAGAGTCGGAGCCAGCTCTAAGATATTTCTAATGTTCTTCCAAGTCTCAAATTATACAACTTGGAATGGGTATAGTGTCATTCGTTGCATGAAGCTGACTCTCTCCCTCTCAGGATAAAAACATTTCCTCTTCACCAATGCTATCAGTTTCCTCTTCCAATTTACATAAGCCCTGTTAAGATTAGGATACCATAAATTAAAAAAATCAGGTTATCATTCTATTCCAATATAGAGTTACTAAAAAGCTAGAGTAAATCACAAATTCAGTGCAGCTGAAGAACACAACTGCTTATGTCAAATAACATGACTTTAAAATGAAAGAACATGAGATATGTTCCTTTTTTTTTCTTTTTTTTTTTTGTAGCAATAGTTACATATCCATATTCTTTTTATCACAATACCTTTACATAAGCACTTGTGTTTTGATGCACAATTATCCACGTCCATAGCCCAAGCATTGAAGAGTGTCAAAACTCGATTCAAGTTCTAACAAGGTTGATCTTGACCTCTAAAAACATAAAACGTTGTTCAGATTCTAAAAAATGGCCACTCTTGCTTAACTTTAAAAAATTTCAACCGAAAAGCAGGGATATGTATTTTGGTCATAGTAAAACTTGGACAATTTAAATTGGATAGTGTCTGTAATATACAGACTGGATGGAACCAATCATGATCGAGCATGATGAAGGCTGTGCATTGCAGTCATGCAAGAACATCGCCAATTAGATAGACCCTGAAGGTTTTGTAATTGGAGTTTGGACTAGTATTTACTTAGGGGTTAGGGATGAAGAATATTTTTAAGGACTTGAGAGCTTACACAAACTTGATAATCCTTTCTCCCAGGACACAAAAAAAAAAAAAAAAAAAAAACTCAAAACACTCTTTACGAAGACACGCAAGTCTTCGGCTCTCTACCACCGTTTAGATGATATTTCCTAGAGGATGCCATGAGTTCTCAATTATGCATTGGAAGAAGGAACACTACTTAGAACTAATTACAGACTGATTTCAAGGAGCAGGACAAATGCAATGATAAGCAACATCGGCAGCAATATATGCTTAAAAAAACTGCTCTAAAATCCACAAAAACCAAAGAAGAGATATAAATTAGCAAGAAATAACTAAGATTTCTACAAACCCTGAAAAATCTCCTGGCTCCACACAAACACATGCAAAAACAACCAAACTACATATGAATTCGGAAATTCTGTATGTAGTAAAAGAATTCATCTTATTCAGTTGAGTAGATTTTGATTTCTGAGTCTAATTCAAAACAATAACACTCTCCGTCAAGAATTATTAATTACATGCCTCGACCCTCTATAATTAAGGATTCACCATGGTTTTTATCAACATTGTGTTCTCTTCATCCTACCCCCCCGCGCTCCTCTAACATAGAGTACATTCGAAAAACAAAGCACAATCTAATTCTATACTCTCATAGACAATATACGCGTAGTTAAGAGTCTTAAGACGGTTCATTAGGGGGCGAAAATGCAGGTTCGGCTAGAGCTCAATAGAAAGGCAGGCTCGGCTCGAGCTCGAATTACAAACAAACCTCAAATTCCTCAAAACCCAAGCTCGGCTGGTGAACTCGATAAGGCTCAGAACATGCAACACATTAAAATCAAAGTTTGACTCATGTATCAAATTAAAACTCCAAAATCACATACAACTCTTCTAGCCTAAGATTCTAAGAATATCAACGTAAATTACACACGGAAATATTCCAGCAGTAAAATAGTTCGTCATAATGTTTCATAATCTCAGTAATTATAGTTCAACAATTTACCTAAATTGAACCCTAAATTGACGATAAAATCATCGAATATGCGAAATAAAACCTAGATTGTGAAATTGATATTTGATGATTGTGAAATAAAACATTGTACCTCAGAAGCCGTTTCAATGGAGTAGAGAAAGCTCAGAAGCCGCGACAATGAAGAGCTCGGTTTACCCTTTAATGGCGGAGATAGAGAGAGAGGAACCGCGAAAAGTAGAAAGCTTTAGAGGGAAATTAAAAGAGAAACATAGAAGGAAGATATAGTAAGCATTTTAGACATAATCGTAACCAAGAAATATTTTAAGGATAAAATGTATCTTTGAGTTATGTGTTGTGGTGTGGCAATGGAAATAAATTGATGAAGTTTCGTCTCTATTTGTTGGCTCCATATCACTCAAAAAACAAAAGAAAAGAAAAGGTTTTAATATATTCCCACGTTTGATTTGATAAATGATATGAGAATTTAAAGAAAAGAAAGGGAAGTGAAATGAAATGAAAGTCTTTTACAAATTTTTAGCTTTCCTTTCTTCCCGGGAGGAATTTGATTGGAAAGAGAAAATAAAAGCATATTTCTTTTGTCTTCCTTTCACTAACCAAACATAGGAAATAAAATCTCCTTCTTTTCCCCTCTCATCCCCTCTCTTCCTTTCTTTACTTTTCCTTTACTAACAATGAACCAAACAAAGCCTAAAATAGATATTAAGAGTGATGTATGTATCTCTCTTTTGCTCTCCTCATCACATGGATCTCTATCTTTATTTCTCTCCTTACTTCTTAAAATTTGTTTTCTCTTCTCATGTTGCACTATTAGGGGAACGAAGTACGTAAGTATATACTCAATTAGGCAACTAACTTAAGTAATTTCAATCTATACTACTTAGTTAAAAGATATAATCATTGTTTTAGAAAAAAGAATATATAAACATAATCCATATGAAAATCTCAAAATTATATGTTAGATATCCAAATCGTACACTCACTAGAAAATTTACCAGTACAAATTATACTTGCGCTTAAAACGCTCTCATCTCTCTTTAATGCCAACTCCCTTCTTCCTCTCTGCCACCGGTGGCCTGCGCAAAGCTGCTCATCCACGGTCGTTGGCGAGCATCTTTTCTTTATATAACTTTCTTCTTGCTTTACTTGTCTAGTTTTGTTGTGTTGTTTAAGGGTGGGTGACCAGAGTTTTTTTAGCAGAGTTGTGTTTCAGATTTGGATTGGAGAAGCTCTTGGTGATCTTTTAACCAAATATAACTCAATTCAGAGCCTATTTCCTCCTCATACTAATTACTCTTGTTAATCAACTCAGAAAAACAAAAGCAATTACAAACGATTATTTACTTACTCGAGCAACTTATAACAAAATGTGTAAAATAATTGATAAACTGACAAATTGTTTCCCAAGAAGTGTTTTGAGCTTTTTGAATGACCTCTAAAAACATACGTGAAAAGCTTTTAACTCAAACTATGGAAATGTGATTGTGTTAAAACTCAAACTATGGAAATGTGATTATGTTAAAGGTTCCTTAGGAGATAAAATATTTCGTGACCTAAAAGATCATATCTTAGGTAAAGATACTTTCCATAATGCATCACTCGCATAATGGGAAACATTTTCTATATTATTCAGTTTCCACAAATAGAAATAAAATATTATCCTAAGATATATGTGAAATAATTAGTTTCTCTTATCATCAAATCACATATTCCTCCTAGTTTGCATATATTCTCATGCTAAAAATATTTTAAGGACAAGATTCTCAACCTTTGAACATATTGAACATTCTCCAACTAATGGACCAAGTTCAGTAAACATACTTTTTGTTGTGTTTCTTACTAGTAGTACAGTGTCTTGAATTCCTGATTCATATAACACTTCATTATCTCCTTAATGAGAAATATTTCGCAAATCTAACCAACTACTCATGCACATTTACAACAAGAAGACCAACTAATAAAATATAAAGTCTTATTTTAGAGATTTTCATATTCTTCAACTTCCCTTGATCAACTTCTGATGATTCTTCTTTTCTTGAACTTTAATCAAGAGGGTTATCAATCTTCAAGAACCTAGATTAACATAATTGTTACTGCACATAGAAAACAATATCTAATATCAATGCAAAAAAAAAACAAGCGCTAAATTGTTTAACATCACTAAAAATCCAAGAAGCCCGAAGCCCAAACACACTAACTTTAAATATCATATGCCAGATGGGTAATACCTTTGTGGTATATGATTAGTAGCTCATCACAAATGGTACATGTGGTGGAATCCTCGGGGCATGTCTTTATGCTAAACAATATTCCTATGATTATCCTACTCAAAATCCTCATTACTACATCGTGATCTTATTATGACATGTAAGATGCAACACTTTTCCTTATATATGTTTAAATATAGTTACAGACTATGTGATGAATGCATGATAGTGATAGTATGTGACCGAATTTTTATATAAATTGTAAGGAAAATTATCGTTAGTTCATTCTCTTAATTATGTTGTTTCACCCAAAATTCTCTCTTTTACTACTTCACAATTTTTTTAGTGCCATGCATCAATTGGGTGGTAAAGGATATACTTGAATTAGTTTTCATTGATCTGGGATGAGATTGATTAATATGGATGTTAGGATGTTATTGTACTTGCCAAGTTATATTTAAATTCACAAATTTTGGCAGAAAAAACTCCATGCATCCAACTTTTTTTTCTTTTGTTCTCGACTGTAAATTCTCATTGTCGCACGCCTTATGTTACCAGTCTACTAGATACCAAACAAAACAGTACATTAGTGTATTGATCTTAGTAATGTAAAGTGTTTTTCAATGAACTCCCAAAATCCAAAGATAATTAACGTTTGGACAAGAATCTTTATCCCGTACCAATATTCATCTCACCAATTTTGAAGCGCTAGCATTCTAACAACCCTCCTCATAGATTTAGTTTATTAACTACTGTAGACATCTACTTTTGGCATCCTGTCCCTACAGAAAGTGCTATGACAACACATAAAACCATCTTTGTCTTGGATCAACGTGAAGAATGCTTATGGACAACTAATTAAGTCACAAGAATGCAAAATGACTAGCCTAACCCAAAACAAAATGAATTAAGGTCCAGAATAACTAAACCTGATCATAATTAGGCTTAAGCCTGAGGTTAAAACCTAATTGTGACGAATTTAGAGGCGCCTAGGTTAAAAATAAATGTTGCTGCGGAAAAATCCGCGCGCATGTCAATGAATCGCGCTGGTCTGGCGCGCGCAGCTCACAAGATTACACGTGACACCCAGCGCAACGTCTAGGGATGCGCTTGCGAAATATTTAGAATTTCATAAAAATATAAAATCGAATCTTACCATAATACTGCGCGCAAGACATCTAGTTGCGCTGCCTTGAGCAGCGTATATAAATCACTTGCGCTAGGCTGTCGCGCGCAACCCATTCTGATGCATGCAACACCTGCCGCGACAGAATACTCGAAACCCTAAATTCATCCATTCCCTATAAATAGAGGCTTAATATGAGGCTTAAACATACAGAAATTAACCTAAAACTCTGGCAGAAACTTTGTGAACTTGTGTAATAATATGTTTATTTTATATAGTGATTTACTCTCGTCCCTTGGTCATAATTAGTAGTGTTTTTGGCTTTTTAAAGCCACTTTTATTACTAACTTGTATTTTCTAGTGTTTTCGTAGTTTTGGTTGAGTTTTGTAGGAGTTTACACACTTGGATCATTTTACGAGGTTATTTGAAGCAACTATGAGCATTGGAAGAGCACGTCCATCTTTCGTAGCTCAAGGTCGGTTAGAATCATCAAATCGGTGATTAAGGGCTCGACATATGAGAAGCCAAGGCATTGGACACTGTGTATTCAAGCCCCTTAGAGGAAATTCGGTTTGGGTTGAGTATCAAGGCCCAATCGAAGTCCAAAGAAGTGCCCAAGTGGCCTTGCCCAGTCAAGGCGCGCCCGATCGGGCGGGGCGGAAGAAGGAACAAGCAGACCTTCGCCCAAGCTCGCGCCCAACCGGGCCGAGAGAAGCTTCCCTGATGAAAAAGGGGGGCTCGTCCGGGCAGTGCTTCGCTCGACCGGGCGCGTGTCTTGAAGTTAATTCTGGCGATTTTTACTTAGATTTTAATTAGGATTTTGATGTTTTGCATAAATACGTTTTAGTTGCTTTTGATACAATTACCTCTCTTTCATTAGTTTAATCTTCTCTTAAGCTTAAACTTCTCTCTTGTTTCTCTCTCTACAACTTTGTTCCTTAATTCAATTCATAATTTCAGTGAAATTTAATTTGGTAACGATTTCTTCTCTATTATTTTCAGTAATTTAATTTCTTTAACTCATCATGTCTTGTTTATTTGCTTTGATTAGTTTAGATTTAATTATGTGTGAATAGTTTCCTTTCTAAGGTTTGTGGGGATCCATAAATAATATGACGAAGGTAATTTATTATTGTTGATTGTCAATGCTTAATTAATTTCCTATTGATTGATTTATTGCTATGCAATTATATTAGTCCTTGTTTAATTGTATAAGTTTTGCAATATTGATTCGAGATTCAAGAGATTAGAATTGATGTTTAGGCTTAGGGCCGGTTTACATTTACTTAATTTCAGTTCAGTTCAGCTCCTAATTTCCACCTCTCGTAAAATATTCATTTCAGCTCAATTCAGTTCAGTTCAGCTCCAATCAGTTCAGCTCAGTTCAGTAAGTGTGAACAGTCCCTTAGTTTCAATAGGCGAGTTAATTTATAAATGGTAAGTCAAGATTAGAGATGGGATTTAATACCGATAGAATAACTCTGTGATTGTAATACGTAGCGAAAGCCCTTTATGATCTGGTTAATTGATGATTGATTATTATGTTTTACCCTGGAATATTATTTATTGGTGAACCTATACCCAAGGTCTTTATTAATTGATTTATCCTTACTTTAATCTCCTTAGACAATAACAATTTGGTTACTTAATAATTTAGATTATTTTAGTTAATTAGGAATAAATTGACTTGTTTCCTTGTGGTTCGACCCTACTTCCCTATCTACTTTAGTTAGAGGACTTAGATAATTATTTTGATTAGGAGATACGACTTTATTTTGTCATGTACTCTTAAACCTCTTGTCTTAAACACTCACCCCCTCAATACTTGTTACTATGGTGGAGGTTCCTGAATAAGAAGGAGTCGATAAGTGTTCTAAACGAAGATCTAGCAAGGAGGAGTGGTAAATTCCCCAGCACTTAGAGCAATCACCTTTGTTTTCTTGTTTAAATGACTTTTAATTAATTAATTAGTGTTGTTTGATCACTTTAAACGAACTTTAATTAATTAATTCCACATAGTATCTTGTGTTAAATAAAGAATAGAATTGAATAATTAACTGTTGATTGATCACCTAAGTCAAGGCGAATCTTGTTTATTTATTG